TAAGAAAAGTCAACAAACCATATTTCTGGGGCGCGCGAACGGATTAATTGAAATTACATTAATTTCAATGTGAAAAACTGTTTCGACTCGCGAACGGAGTCAAAGAACGAATTAAGTTCGTGACTCGAGGTACCACCGTATAACAGTACTTGTTTTTATATCTTGGAAGGTGAAAAACTGATCGAGACCGTGACTCGAATGCAGAGTGTTCCAATTGCCGTTCATCGGTAAGGTGTACCAAAATATTCGAACATGTTAAAGTGATCGCTTCGAGAAGTTGACCAACAGTGGCTAGGCTTGCAGATGCAGCAAGTTCTGTTATAGTCATTAAGTCTAGACTGGCGGACTAGGCCGCCAGATAGCCCAGTTCGAGGGTGAAGAAGTTAAATCAGGCAGGAGTCGGGAAAGCTACGCTTGGAGGGAAAAGACTCAAAACCGTTAGGAATAGTAGCTGCGATTAGTCGCCGATGATCGGCAAGTTCAAATGAGAGTATGGATTATACCTTCACTTTCCAACTCATTATTCTACTCAACCTGTCATGCACATCAGAGAGATGTCTTGCTACGATGCTTATCCGTTTATTTTCCTAATTATTTACCATTAAACGTAATGGTTCCTGCAATCAAATAATCAGGATTGCCCTTTTATCTGCTTCGCCACGAAACCGAAACGTTGGAAGTGCAATAGTTTTCCACTACTGTACTAGGCAAAATCTTTTTCTGGAAATTTATCATATCAAAACTGTCGATCAAGATATAACATCACGCACGTCATTCATGTAAAATAAGGTGCAACCGAAACTAGAAGCGCACCGCTTTCTTGCACGTCGGAAACATGTCAACTTTATATAAACGATTACTTAAAGCTACATAGAAATCGTTAATTTGAACGTGTGCACTGCATAACATACCTGATATTCATTTGGTTGCAAAGTACCTGCACGTGCCTTTTCCACCAACGCCTTTACTTCGTCAGAAATTTCCAAGAGACCCTAAGAAAGTGTGCTTTATGGAGAATTCAAATATGTAACGACCAGCTAATGAATCGACCAAGCCATGCCTTCAGATTTGCGCCAAACACGATTGGTGCTATAAGACCGGCGTCAGTGGTGACTGCAACGGACATGTCTACTACGTTGTTTTGGCGAATGAACGCGTCCATCCAAAAGCTGTTCACCTCTGGAACTCGCATGCAAGACAGGGCAGCCGCTTTAATGATGAAGTCGTTCACCGACAGTTTCTTGTTGTTTTTTTTCAGCATGTTGTTCAGGTTTTCCCGCAGCCTATGAGAAAACACTGCCGTACAATATGAACGTACACAGAAAAGTTCGACGAGAGCGAATACACTAAACAGGCTGTTAGCTTCACATCAGCAAACTATAGAGCGTATTTCCAGGCCTGATGCTGAAGGATAATAGATCGAAAACGGCATAGGCTTAGAGGTCCAAGAGAACCCCTTAAATATTAGAATATTATACATATTGCCTTTCATTCCAACAGCAAATATGAAATGCGAAGAGCTCGTAAGTAGTAACTTTTCTGTAAAAATATGAAGTGAAAGCTTGTTGTGATCATTTCAGAGTAGCAACGATAATAAAAGGCAGCAGGAAGATGAAATGAAGATGTCTCATGTATTACTATGCCTTAAGAGTTTGACAAAATAGCGAGGGTGAGGATGCATTAATGGAAAAAGGCTGTCAGAAGGCCAGAAAATGCTACTATATTAGTTCCAACTAATGTAAACGCAACGGTAAAAGAACATATGAAAATGAACGAAAGCCTTCACACGGAGATATGTGCAAGCGATGATTCGTAATGCTGAGTGTTTATTGAGATCATGATTTTGAGCCGTTTGTAAAGACAGAATGATTCCGGTTTACGATGTCCGCTGTATTCGCAGTTCCTCTGTCACTTACTACCCGACACCAGTTAGTTATACTGCATGCTGGCCTCTTGATCAATGCCTGGCGTGTTTCCGTTCGCACAAGAGAAGCTAGCGAGTTGAAATAAAGGATTTATGCTTGACCATGTTATCTACTATG